GTTGGGTGGGGGAGAGAAAAGAGCCGCTGGGGAAATGAGGCACAAAGCCTGTGGCGGGCGGGGAGGCTGGCAGCTGAGGAGGCGCTGGCAGAGCCTGGCCCTGCACAGCCTCATGGGGCGTCAAAACCCAGCTCCTGCCGTTTGCACAGACCCTGCTGGGCACGGGGAGATTAGACGTGTAATTGCGATAATTGAAAACCTTCTTCCTCAAGGCTCACAGGGAGAGTCAGTCGAACTCCACTGAGGGCAATGGGGGAAGAATTTCCATGGCGCGGGGAGTGACAGGTTCCCAGAGACAGGGACCCAGAGAGCCAGATGCTCAGGACTGTCTCAGCAGCGGCTCATCTAAACATGCCCAGACAAGTGGACACCCACGTGGTGCTCACAGTGGTCCTGGCTCAGACTGTCCCCAGAACATGCCCCCCCCACCAGACACTGCCGGGGAGCCTGAGTCCTTCCTGTTACCCGCCGATCCCCCTCCTCCGTCCCTATTCCCGCCCCTCCCAGAGCGACCGCTCACCTGGAGCAGCCAAGGAGACCAGCAGGAGAACAGCAAACACCAGGTGGAGGATCCTCATGGCTGGAGGGGGCTGGGGTCTCAGCAGGGCTGCAGAGCAGAGGAGCAGAGAGGGAGGCTGGAGGCCGGTGAGGTGCTGGGCTGGGGATCCCGGTATTTCTAGAGAGTTTGTTGGCAGAGAGCAGGGGCTGGGGGAGGAGCATGAACTCTCTGATCTCCACGTGTGCGTTGGTCCCTGCAATGTCGCTCTGGCCCAGTGGGCCGCTCCCAGTGATGCAAACCCCCCACGTTCTCAGGGCCCTTTGGTCCCTGCCCCTCCCTCTGCCATGAAACCTGCCTGGTCCCTTCCCCCGGCATCCCGAGGTGGGTGGAGTTTACCCTCCCTCACAGCCAGCTCCCCAGATGTATTGGGAAGGTGACAAATGACTCCTTGTTTTCTCATTGAACACAAAGTGCTGATCCAGGGAGGGTGTCGGTGGGAGCCCTTTGAACTGAGTCTGCGAGTCAGAGGGACCTGATGGAGACTTGTAATTCTGAACATCATGGGTCGGAGCCCAGCATCACACAGGCAGGTGCCTTTTCATCTTCTCATCTCTGCGTAACAGAGACTTGAGCAGCCCACTTGTCACACCTTCCAAAAAATAAGGAGGAGACCCAGCGCACCTTAGAGATTCTGTGCACTCAAGTGGTTCAGACCCACTTGTCTTGATAGGGAAGGTAAAGTTTCTCTGTTTCAGCATGTTAACTTTGTTTGTACAATCATAGACTCACAGAACAGTAGAAGTGGAGGGGACCTTGAGAGGTAATCAAGTCCAGTCCCCTGCCCTCACAGCAGGGCCAAGCCCTGTCTAGACCATACCTGAGAGATGTCTATCTAAGCTGCTCTTAAATATCTCTCGAGGTGGAGATTCCTCATGATCCCATCTACAAGTTTTGTTAGTCTATAAAGTTCTACCAGATAATTTGTTGCTTTTTTAAAAGAGTTGGGTTTATTTAGTCTGTTAGGGTATGTCCACACTACCGCCCTAGTTCGAACTAGGGGGGGTAATGTAGTCATACGGAGTTGCAAATGAAGCCCGGGATTTGAATTTCCCGGTGTCGCGGGGTGGGGGGCGTGGGCCGCCCCTCAACCCACTGATACTCAGAGTTGCTCAACGTGCCGCCCAGTTCTGAACCTCCTGGGCGGAGTTGGGGGTCCGGGCCCACCCTCTCTCCGGACCCCGACCCAGGGCCCTAACACCGAGAGTGTGCCTCTCAGTGGTAGCAGGGGGGCTAGTACCCCAAACACACCTGCTCCTGGGTTCCACAGCCCGCCCTGGGTCTTGCTCCACTCCGCCGGCCCGCGACCGCGGAAATTACCCTCTAGCCCCAGCCGGGGCCTCGTCCTCCGTGGCTCCCCCCCGCCTTGCCCTCTTCCCTCTC